TCCTGTCTGCCCTCTCTGCTCCCCCTCATCTCAGCCATCATCCACTCCTCTCTGTCAACTGGAACTGTTCCCACCCCCTTCAAATCTGCAGCCATCAGTCCCACCCTGAAAAAACCTGGTTCAGACCCCAACGACTTCAATAACCTCCGCCCCATTTCCCACCTCCCCTTCATTTCCAAAATTCTAGAAAAAACGGTTGCCTCTCAACTCCACACCCATCTCACTCACAACAGTCTCTATGAACAGTTCCAGTCCGGTTTCCGTCCCCTCCATAGCACTGAAACAGCCCTCATCAAAATCACTAACGACCTCCTCATGGCAGCTGACTCCGGTTTAATCTCCATCCTCATTCTCCTTGATCTGAGTGCGGCCTTCGACACCATCTCCCATCCTCCTCCATAGACTCTCCTCCGTAGGCATTACTCACGCCCCCTTCAACTGGTTTCACTCATACCTCACTGGCCGCACTCAGTTCATCCAACTCAAATCATTCACCTCACAGCCCTCCCCCGTCACTTCAGGTGTCCCCTAGGGTTCTGTCCTTGGCCCCCTCCTCTTCATTATCTATCTCCTTCCCCTTGGCAGCATCCTCCGTAAATTTGGCATACATTTTCATTGCTTCGCGGATGACACCCAGCTCTACCTCTCCAGCAAACCCGACGCCTCTCTTCCACCCTCCTCCCTCACCCACTGCCTCTCAGAAATTAAATCCTGGTTCACCTCAAACTTCCTCAAACTCAACTCCAATAAAACAGAACTCCTCCTGGTTGGTACCAAGTCCACTCTTTCCAAAACTGACAGTTTCTCCCTCACCATAGATAACTCCACAGTGTCCCCTTCCCCTCAGGTTAAGAGCCTGGGTGTCATCCTTGACAGCTCCCGATCTTTCCACTCTCACATCAGTAACATCACCCGGTCTGCATATTTCCACCTACGAAACATCAACCGTCTCCGTCCGTCACTCACTCCTCACACCACAGCTATCCTGGTCCACAGTCTTGTCACCTCCCGTATTGACTATTGCAACTCACTCCTCCTCGGTGCCCCTCACAAATCCCTCCATAAACTTCAACTTGTCCAAAACTCTGCAGCCCGCATCATCACCAGAACCCCCTCCTTTCACCACATCATCCCTGTCCTTCAGCAGCTTCACTGGCTCCCCGTCAGGTCCAGAATCAACTACAAAATCCTTCTGTACACTTTCAAGGCCATCCATAACCTTGCCCCCCCCTACCTCGCCGATCTCCTCCAATCGCCACCCCCTCACACTCCCTCAGATCCTCCTCCTCCCTCCACCTCTCTGTCCCCTCTGCCCGGCTCAGCACCGTGGGTAGCAGGGCTTTCAGTCGCTCTGCCCCCAAACTCTGGAACTCTCTCCCCCCGGACCTCAGAAACATGGACTCACTACCCCACTTTAAATCCAAACTCAAAACTCACCTATTCCAAATCACATATTCACTTTAACTGTCCACTTTCACACTTGTATGTTCTTTTTATTTATTTTAATTATGTTTCTAACTGTGTTTTTATGCCCTGTACAGTGTCCTTGAGTGTTCAGAAAGGCGCTTTTAAATAAAATGTATTATTATTATTATTTTTAAACTCCCGATTTACCGGTCGATCTACGTGTCGACTCTCACCTATGGCCATGAACTGTGGGTAATGACCGTAAGAGCAAGATCGCGGATACAAGCGGCTCAAATGGGTTTCCTTCGCAGGGTGGCCAGGCTTAGCCTTAGAGATAGGGTAAGTAGCTCGGACACTCGGAAGGCGCTCAGAGTAGAACCACTGCTCCTCCACTCCGAGAGGAGTCAGCTGAGGTGGCTCAGGCATCAGGTTAGGATGCCTTCTGAACGCCTCCAGTTAGAGGTGTTCCAGACATGTCCCACCAGGAGGAGACCTCGTGGCCAGCCCAGGACCAGGTGGAGGGATTATATCTCTCGCCTGGCCTGGGAGCGCCTGGGAATCCCCCTGGCGGAGCTGGTGGAAGTGGCTGGGGTAAAGGCCATTTGAGCTTCCCTCCTGAAGCTGCTGCCCCCGCGACCCTGACCTGGATGAAGTGGAAGAAAACAACATCGACGACGATATACTGTGTGTTTCTGATAATGTACCACACCTGAAACACATGGTCTTTGTGTATGTCTATTTAAATATACAAATTTGTTCATGTGGAAATTTAACAGCAAGACACTTTCCCTCTGTCTAGCCCTCTATAATTAATAAGAGTTCTCTAATTACAGAACCAGCAGCTCGTGATCCCCTGGGCATGAGTGCATCCATGGATGCACCCTCAGAATCACACACATATGAAGACTGACACACACTCAAAGGTTTGCACTGTCTCTGATAGCATCTCACATTTGAAGGACTGAGTTGATGTCAGATGTCAGTGACCTTCCAGTTTTAAGTCAGTGTGTGTGTGTGTGTGTGTGTGTGTGTGTGTGTGTGTGTGTGTGTGTGTGTGTGTGAAAGAGAGAGAGAGAGAGAGAGAGAGAGTTTGATTACGTCTGATCTGATAGATTCCAGGGTCTGAAGTGCCAGAGTGGGACAGTCAATATGCTTCCTATCAGACCATGAAATACCTCTCTATATCTCTCACACTGACTTTGCATGGATGTGAAATCTAGCTTTAGCTATATTGTCTTCTACCTAGAAAAAAGAGGTTACATGCTTTTTCAAAATCAAGACAGATTGCAAAGAACAGAGGTGTGTAGTCAAAGCAGGAGTTTATAGCAGAAAGGAATTCAATCTTAGATGCAGAGTTTTTAACAGTTGTTAGCAGTCGTGAATACACTTGATTCACAACTACTTCCTAGAGCTAAATTAGGTAAGAGACAGATTTTTTATTCTAGTTTTCTGTAAGGCCTGTCAATGCTGCCACTGGATTGGTGTGAGATAAATCAATTTATAGTACACAGACTGTAAATGCCTCTGTTAACAGTTTTACTTCATTAATATTTTTGGATCAAAGTTTGTCATTCAGCAGAGAGCAATATGAGATTTATCACTGGGAAGCGAAAGTAATTGATGTGTGTCTTTGGCTGAAAGGGTTACATATACAAAATGAATCCCAAAGTTACTCACAGCAACATATCAGGCTCAATTTTCGTGCCCGCCGGCATGGCGGAGGGTAGCACAGTGGTATTTTTGTCTGGCAGAGCCTGCTGCCTAGCCAGTTTGGTATTTTCCTAGACTGAGGCGCACCAAGGTCCACCAAGCTGGGCATGATAGTGCAGTAGCGGGAGGTGTCTACAGAATTAATATTTTCGTGCCCACCTACAGTGTGGAAAGTGCGCTGAAAGCTTGCCAATTCAAACCTGATCAGCTTTCAGCACGGGTGGAGCACAGCAGTTCTAGTGGTAGTTTGGCAGACCAGCGGCATTCACCGATGCCTCACCAGCAGGTGTCCACAGTGTCAGGCGCATTTAAGTGCAATAAATAACAGCGAATATTCAGTGCAACTATCTGAGTCAGCACATACAATGAGATCTAGAGTATATGAATATATTTTGTATTATATCTTATGAGCGCGTTTGGCAACCGTAATTGCCACTTGACCTGATCAACTAACACAGTTGTAGCCCTGATGCAAACTATTGACTTCACATCTCTCTGCTAACCACAAACAGCCTCGTCATCACATAGAGAGTATTTATTTGGCATGTCATCTCAGAACACTTAGAAAAAAAATCTATGCACACAGAAGAAATGTAAGTTATGACCATTGTCCTCAAGATTTACCTGCATCATGTGATCTCACATAGCTACAAATGTAATCATTTCCATGCTTAACATTATCTACAAAGATCGAGTACATAATTGCAAATAGGTGGAGGAGGAGAAAGAGTAGAACTTACTGAGCAAGGCTTACTGTAAGGGTGACAGCAACTCTGACATTCTTCGCCACCGGGTCTTTCCAACATACCGTGCCCACGGTGGCAGGGATCAGTCAGGCAGTTGTCAGTTTGGCCATGCATGCAGTGTCCACCAGTCTGGTACCACACGCAAATGAGCACATAATCCTCCCATCAACACCTGCAAGCCAGCTGGAAACGAAGCGAAGGTTCTTGTTGAAATATGGTTTCCCCAGGGTCCTTGGAGCAATCAAGTGTACACATGTGCAGAAGCGCACACCAGAGACCCAAGCCCTCATTTATGTAAACCGAAAGGGAGTCCCCTTCATCAATATCCAGGTGATTTGTGACTCAAATTGCCTGGTGACCGACGTGTATGCCAATTTTCCCGTGTCTGCACAAGAATCATTCATCCTGGCGAATTCGATCATCTCTACATTCTTTCAGGGGGGATAAGCCTCTGGATGGGTGGCTGCAAGGTTATAACAGCTATCCACTGAAAACATGGTTGATGACACTATACATTACACATTCAAGACAGCAACATGTTTTTCACAGTGACTTCAGCAGTGCTAGGTCAGTCATTGAACGCACTTCTCAATCCTCAAACTGAGTTTCAGATGTCTGGACTGGTAAGGTGGTTCATTACCATACAGCCCGCAGAGAGTTGGTGGATTCTTGGTGGCATGTTGTATTTTACACAGCATAGCTATATGTCATGGATGCCACTATGACCTCACTGAGGACACATTACTGGACCTAAACTGAGAGAGAGGCCGAATTGCATTTGCCATATCAACAGGGAGAGCAGCAGAGCACATGGGCGAGAAGGGACCGCCTCGCTACACAGCTCTGCCCTTAAATGTCAGTATTTGCTTCCATTTATTTATACACTTGATGATTTGTAGTTATCCACATTAAAATATCCAATAAATAGTCACACATGATGGTGTTAGAAAGTTATTTTATTGTTGTCCCCTCCCCACCCCCTTCCTCTTCCTCCTCCTCTTCTTCCTTGGCTGAGGCCATCCCCCTCTCGTGCGTGGCCTCAGCGGCCACCTGGGACATGCAGGGTCAGTGGATGGCTCTGGAGAACGCAGCAGCCTTTCTACAATATCACCAAATCTGCCAAAGGTGGCAACACCAGAGGCTAAGGGGAGCAGGTTGGCTGAAGGACCTCCTGGAGAGATTTCAACCCTGCCTTCTGCGACTCAAGCCAAGCCGCCATTGACCCCAGCTCCCTCTCCAACATAAGAAACCCTACCTGCTGGGTCCCCAGGTAGGGCCAGTCCTCATCCTGCACCCAGTCACGTCTCCCCCCTTACCTTGCTGGCTCTGATCGGTGACCTGCCCCCTCCTCCTTAGTCTCCAGGACCAGAATATTACTTGTGCACACAACACACCTTTGTAACACGTGGTTAAATATGTTCAACGTGAGTGTCTATTTGTGAAAAGAATGTTTGTCTCACCCATGAGTCCAACCTTACAGACATTAAACCCCTCAATGCTTACTTGGGGAAGTGTAGAGGACGCCTCGTTTACGGCAGGGCTCAGTGCCACACTTGCTGGGGACGCCTCCGGTTGTGACCATCTGGCAACAGTGCTGAGCAATTTTTTTGTTTTGCTCATCTTCTCACATCATTGAACCACTTTTTTCATTGTGCAGTGGTTCTCAGGACGTCCGGGCAAACCTGGTTTACAGCATTACTTACCTCCTGGATGGCATTTCCCCGTAATAAATTAAATAAAAATTTAAAAAACGCATTTTGTACTCACTTGGGTTATCTTTGTTTGATATTAGAATTTGTTTGATGATCTGGAACTTTTAAGTCTGTAAAATGTGCAAAAAAAAGAGGTAATCCGTATGGGGGCAAATACTTTTTCACAGCACTGTACATATAGGGCCCTATAAAATCTGTTTTATTTTTTTCCAAATTCGTTTTAATTTTTTGCCATTTTTTTTTTCGGTTTTAATTTTTGGAGAATTCATTTTTTAGTTTTTTTTTATGCAAATTTAACCCTTAACCACCACATGAAGTAATGAAATACAGACAGTTTATTCAGTTATAACTGAAAACTTTAATGCTTGCTGGCATTTAATTGCCTTTCAACAATATTTTTAACAAAAGTACATAAAAAATTGCAACAGCCCATGAACTGAACAATAAAACATGTTTTGAAACCAGGGTCAAGATCTTGCAGGTGGGGGGGTTGGTTGTGGGGTTGTGGAGTGCTTTGTGGGTGAGAAGGAGGATTTTGTACTGAATGTGATGGGTGATGGGGAGCCAGTGAAGGTTCTGGAGGACAGGGGTGATGTGGTAGAGTTCTGGATGAGCTGAAGTCTACTGAGGAGAGTGGAGGTAGTGCCATGGAGGAGACTGTTACAATAGTCTAGACGGGATGAATTGAATGCATGTATGAGGGTTTCAGCTGCAGGGTAGGAGAGGGAGGGGCGGAGGCGGGCAGTGTTTTTGAGGTGGTAGTAGGCTGTTTTGGTGATTTGCTTTATGTGCTGGGTGAAGGAGAGGTTGCTGTCGAAGAGAACACCAAGGTTGCGACAGTGGGGGGAGGGGGAGAGGGTGGAGTTGTCAATGGAGAGATGAAAGTCTGTGACTGTGGAGGTGAGGGAGTTTGGGCTGATGATGAGAAGATCTGTTTTGTCATAGTTGAGCTTGAGAAGGTTGCTGTCCATCCAGTGTTTGACATCAGAGAGGCAGTTTGAGAGGGAGCGTTGGGTCTTGGGGGTGATGAAGGTGAAAGAGATGTACAATTGAATGTCATCAGCGTAGCAGTGGAAGTGGAGATTGTGTTGACGGAGGATGTGGCCAAGAGGGAGGAGGTAGATGATGAAGAGGCGGGGACCAAGCACTAAAACCCTGGGGGACACCTTGGGACACGGGGGCAGTTGTGGAGGAGCAGTTGTTGATGTGGATGAAGTGATTCCGGTCTGTGAGATACAAGTGGATCCAGTTGAGAGCAGTGTCTGTGATATTCAGGAGGGAGTGTAGGCGGGACAGGAGGATGGCGTGGTCGATGGTGTCAAAAGCGGCAGAGAGGTCAAGGAGGATGAGGATGGAGAGTTGGCCGGAGTTAGCAGAAATGAGGAGGTCGTTGGTGACTTTGATGAGGGCAGTTTTGGTGCTGCGGTGGGTGCGGAATCCTGATTGAAACTGTTCGTAAAGATTGTTATTGTTGAGGTGGGCTTTGATTTTTGATGCAATGACATGTTCAAGGATTTTCGACAGGAAAGGGAGGTTGGAGATGGGCCGGAAGTTGTTGATGTCATCAGGGCTGGGTCCAGGTTTTTTGAGGATGGGGGTGACAGCAGCCAGTTTGAGTGAGGGGGGAACAGTGGCAGAGTTGAGGGAGGAGTTGATGATCTGCGTGATGATGGGAGAGATGGGATGGGATCCAGGTTGAAGGTGGATGATGACATGGAGCAGATGATGTTAGTCACGTCGGTTGGAGAAACAGGTGAGAAGCGGGAGAGTGCTGATGGGATGAGGAGAGGAGCTGGGAATGGAGGGTGGGGGAAGGGAGTTTTAGATTCTGTTGATTTTGGATTGAAAAGCGGTGTTACGGCTGTGTGTTTGTTTTGCATGTGTTTTTCCCCTTTTGTCTCTCCATAGCTGCCCAGGTGAAATCACTTGAGTGACAATCAGACTCACCTGGTGCTGGGAGTCTAAAAGCCCAGAGCTGCCTGCAGTCTGGAGAGGCATTTGGTGGGGAACTGCTGCCCTGCTGCCCTGCTGCCTCTCATTTGTGTTGTGGTTGCTTTGTGTTTAGTTTGCAATTATGTTGTTTTTTCACAATAAATCACGTGTTAAACTTTTGAAGGTGTTTTGGTTAATTTGATGGGTAAAAAGTTGAGGATAGTTGTTAGCCCCATAGGGCCGCCTAAGGGTGGGGCGTAACAAATGGGGGCTCGTCCGGGACCGAACATCCATGAGGTTCTTTGAAGTTGTTTTTTTTCCTTTCGTAACTAGTGACCATAGTTTGGGTTTTTTAGTCTTCTGTTTCTGTCACGATCATTAGTAGTTGCTTTTATTTGTAACTTCTGAGCACCCTGATTATTTAGTCGCCGGGCAGGGAAGAACTTGCCACTTTTTTATTTTGCCTTTCTTATTTTTGGTGGTAATCCTGAGGAGGGGGCACACTTAGGTGATGCCTCGAGCCCGGCAGGCCACTGAAGACTAGCTAGGTAAGTCAGACATCTTGTTAAGCAGGTAGGGGTTGGGGTGACTCATTTTGATCTGCAATTGTTTTGTTCTATAGTACTGTTTTTGTTTTTGTGTGTTTCAGAAGACTACCCATTTTTGCTTGGTCACTCTGGGTGATAACAATTAGGATTTTGTGTGCAGTAACTTGTGTTGTGTGACCAGTCGTTGGTGGTAACTGCTCTCCACATTTGGTGGGTCACGTGTGAGTTGCATCTTAGGTGTAAGGTGGCAACAGTTGTGTAGTGGTGACTATTGTGTGACCATTTTGTGTAGTGGTTTGCAGTCCACATTTGGTGGGTCACTTGTGTGTTACTGTTTCGTATACCTATTTGTATGTTCCGTTCGTTTGGCTTGTTGCCAGCCTTCTCACAGTAATTTGTGTGTCTTTTGAAGACTTGTGTCCATTTGTGTTGTGGTGGTGGCAGTCACCTTTTGTTGGATCTCTGTGTGCTGTTTGTGAATGACAGCAGTGTTGTAGTTTTACTACTTTTGTTGATCCGTTTGTGTGTGTGACTGTTCACTCCACTTTGGTGTTGGACATCTGTTACTGTGTGTGGTATTGGCAAATTTAGTGTTTTGCTCTTTGTGTTTGTGTTAACCTCATGGTAGTAGCCATTTTGCTTTGTGGGAGTGGCACCCACTTAATTGGCTGCTTTTGTGATGGATGCTCTTGAATTTGGTTGCAGCATCTTCCTCGGCCCTAATTTAAGATTGTATTCCTCACGACCCATTTAGCACCTTTTTGTCAGCAGTGGTTGTCTTCAGTTTTGGTGAACAGTTAAGGTTTTTTTTAAGCTTGTGCAGTGGTGTGTGTTTTGTGACAAACAGCCTTGGTGAGTAACACCCATTTAGTTAGTTCTTGTGTTAACATAGTTGACGCAATGCACTTTAATTCAATGAATAAATGTTTGTATTATTTTGGATTTACGGTGTGCAATTGTGGTGTTTATTTTTGCAGTACAAATGATTTATTCATTGTTTTAAGGGTGGGGGTGTTACGGCTGTGTGTTTGTTTTGCATGTGTTTTTCCCCTTTTGTCTCTCCATAGCTGCCCAGGTGAAATCACTTGAGTGACAATCAGACTCACCTGGTGCTGGGAGTCTAAAAGCCCAGAGCTGCCTGCAGTCTGGAGAGGCATTTGGTGGGGAACTGCTGCCCTGCTGCCCTGCTGCCCTGCTGCCTCTCATTTGTGTTGTGGTTGCTTTGTGTTTAGTTTGCAATTATGTTGTTTTTTCACAATAAATCACGTGTTAAACTTTTGAAGATGTTTTGGTTAATTTGATGGGTAAAAAGTTGAGGATAGTTGTTAGCCCCATAGGGCCGCCTAAGGGTGGGGCGTAACAGCGGAGAGGAATGAGATGCAATTTTCCGGTGTGAAGGTGATAGAGATGCTGTCTATGGGGTGGAGCAGTTTTCTGACTGTGGAGAAAAGAGCCTTTTGGTTACTGGAGCCGGAGTGGATGAGGTTGGAGTAATAGGAAGAACGGGCGGAGTTGAGGGCTGTTCTGTACAGGTGGAGATGGTCGGTGTAGGCTTGGAGATGGACGGTGAGGCCGGTTTTGCGGGAGAGATGTTCCAGTTGATGTTTGTGTGATTTCATTTTGTGCAGTTCTGAGGTAAACCATGGGGCAGAGTGTCTAAATGAAACTGTTCTTGTTTTGAGGGGTGTGAAATGGTCCAGGCAGGAGGATAGAGTCTTATTGTAGTAGTTGAGTAGGTCAGCAAGTTTAGCAGATGGTGGGGGAGGGGATGCAGTGAGGGTGGCAGATAGGGAAGCGGAGAGGTCCTGAGGCGAGATGGATTTGAGGTTTCTGAAGGAGATGTGTCATTTTTCACTGTGAAATGGGGGAGGGGGGGGGTCAACACTGAAAGTGACAGCCAGGGGGTCGATGGTGGAGAGATGGTGGATGGAGATGCCTGTGGAACAGACAAGGTCGAGGGTGTGGCTGTGGGAGTGGGTGGGGGAGTGTACATGCTGTATGAGGTTGAGGATGTCGAGCAGATCAAGGAAATTGGAGGCTTGTTTGCAGGTGGAGTTGTCGATGTGAAAGTTGAAGTCTCAAAGCAGCAGGACAGAGGATGAGATGGTACTTAGGTGGGTGACAAAGTCAGAGAAATCAGAGAGGAATGATGGGTGGGGCTTTGGAGGGCGGTAGATGGTGACGATGACCAGAGGGGTGGGGCCGGGGAGTTTGACGGAAATATTTTCAAATGAGTGGACAGACAGGATGGGGGTGGTGTTGAGGGTCTGTTTGTGGATAAATGCGACGCCACCACCTCGTCCAGTGAGGCGGGGTTGGTGCAGGTAGGAGTAACCGGGGGGTTATTGGTTATTGTCTGTTATGAAGTCAGCCAGGATGTGTCCTTTGTTATTGAGGGAGCAGGTGTTTTGAAGGGCCATCTTCAGGGGAGGGGGCTGTGGGGTGAGCAGTGAGGCAGGGGGAAGGCAGCAGAGGTTTATTTGATTCCTTGTCCTTCGTTTTGCATGCATGGGATTTGAGCGGGAGGATCCAGTAGTTGTAATTGTTTGAATGAAGAAGCTGTGGCGAGACCCTGGTGAGATGGCAGATTGGCAAGGAGACTCTGTGGTTGGAGGGTGCAGTAGCTGTTTGGGCCAGGAGGGGGAGCTTGTTGTAGAGGCAGCGATAGGATTGGTGTGCAGTACCAGTTGAGGCCTGTTGGGGGAGCCGGTGGTGAGGGTGGTGAGGGTGAGGATTCTGGAGGGGGGGCTCTGGGGGGTGCTGTTTCCAGGTGGGGTAGTGTTAGGCGAGGAAGAAGATGACAGGGAGGGTGTAAACAATGCTAGTCAGTTGGTGTGCACGTAGTGTTGGATGTTAGCGGCAAGTGTGTAATGGCCCAGTTTGTTTGGGTGAAGTTCGTCAAGGGAGAAAAATGGCGATTGGTTCCAGAACAGATTAAAATTGACAATGAAGTGGGTGGAGAAGGTACTGCAGAGTGATCGAAGCCAGGAGTTTAGGCTGAGGAGGCGGCTAAATCGATCAATGCTTCTTGTCAGCGTTGGTAGCGGACCACTTATAAAAACAGATTTGCCGCTGCACTGAAGGATGTGGAGAAGTGTTCTGAAGTCACTTTTGGTTAGTTCAGACTGTTGGTGAGCCATGTCGTTGGTGCCAATGTGAACAATGATACGGTGGATAGAGGGAAGAAGTGACTGGAGAAGACCGGGGAGTTTTGCCATGATGTCGGCGACAGTTGCACCAGGGAAAATGTGAGTGATGGCATTGAAAAAATGGATACCTTGTGCGATGCTGTCACTGACGATCAAGGTGGTGGGGGAAACAACTGCAGGGGTTGCATGGCTCCTGTACCCAAAGCAGGGCAGGTGGCCGGGCTGCCAGGACTCAGCGGTGCGGTGGACGCCAGCGGCAGCGGGGATGGTCTGCTATTTTCGTCCGGGGCGGCGGCGGCGAGCCTGGCGGAGTTCCGTTGGACTGCCTCTCGGAGAAACCTCTTGCGGGCAGCCGAGGATGCGGTCCGGCTCTCAGAGTGGTGGACAAGGCGGGTCCCGGGACACCGCGCATGTCCAGGCACCGACGAAGAGGGGTCCCCTTCGCCAGTGCCAGGCCACACGGGAATCCCTCCGCACGCCAGCAGGGAGGTGTTCTTCGCACCAGAGCCCAGTGATGCCTGGGAGCTGGTCACCAGAAGAGGGGCTGGCACGCCGCGAAGGCACCGGAGAATGAGGACGAAGGCCTGGGGGCTCCGCCGGGTGGCCATGTACGAGCCATGGGAGCTCTGGCAGTCACTGTGGAGGATGCCATCACATCACCGCGGAGAGGGGACTGGTTCGGGCTGGTGTTGGCAGGCTTAGGAGGATGCTCAAGGGCCTCGAAGCGGTTAGAGAGGGACAACTGGACTGTAGAGGCATCGCTGGAGGGATTTGTCCTGCTGCCGGCGAGGACCTTGGACCGGGGCAGTGGATTGCTCGGCGTGGAGCTTGAGGTAGGCCCGGCCAGGTTCCAGGGGATGGTGTTGGTGGTTTTCCTACTTAGGGTGATCACTTCAGTCCAGGTCGAGTCCTGGTAGGGTGCTGTGGTGGATGGCGGTCGGGACGAGGCCCCCGGGCTGTGAGGCTCCCAGGGTAGCGTGTCCTGGAGGGTTGCTTGGAGGGAAAACAGGTGGAGGGATTGCTGGTGGGCCACATCCATACAAGTTGTGAGTAGAGTGGATTTTGATTTGAGCTCCTTGGACAGTTTTTGAATACGAAGTTTGAGTATGGTTATTGTTTTATTTTCCTCGTGAAGCGCTTCAGTCTTCTCAAGGAGTAGGGACTCGCTCGCTCTCTCGCTTATGCTTGCTTAATGTCTATGTTGATCGCCACTATTTCACTCTTTCTATCTCTCTCTTTTGTTCACAATAGCTTTAGGTTTAAATCATGATTGCTTTTTGATACTTCTAGTGTTAAGGTAACAGATTGTATTACTTAATGTGGTATTGAAAAGTATTAAATTAATTTAAAAAATGTTATAACCTTGCTATATGATGTATCCCCCCTGATATAAAGAAAACAAAGGTGATGCCTTCTTGGCTCGTGGTTCTTTTTAATATCACACATGAACAGAGGAGATAAGCCAGAGAATAATGCAGTTGGTGACAACAAGCTGATCAGAGTATTTCACAGTTTATCAAAATTCTGTTACATCATCTACTCTGTACTCCTGAAACTCTCAAATTCATTTACTCTCTGCTTCCTTTCTGCTGCTATCCTGTCATTTACTAAATCACATGTGCCTTTTTCATCTTCTTCCTTTCATGTTTCCTTCCTTTGATTGATTGTCTGTCTCATCGTTGTGACATCGACTCTCACTTTGAGTTTTTGACAAGATGGGGACTGGATTTTCCTTTTACACGTTGGCAGCACCAATTTTCTTCTCCGATGAGATGATGTAAAAGTAATTGCACATTTTCTCTCTCTCACTGTGAATTTAATGCTTGGTTGCAATAGCCAATAGGTAGCAGGAAGGGTTGATTGCCTTCAGTCTCTTCACACAAGTCCCTGCCATAAAAAAGTCCTCTTGATCAGCAGTCAAAGAGGCTTAATTTCAGGAGCAACCCATGAACCATGCTGGGAAATTCAAGTGCTAGAATTAAAAAAGGACATCAGACAATAAACTTATGCACTGGTGGTCTGGCCTTCTGTAGACCATTACCTTCAAATTCTGTGATGGTAAATTCTCTCTATGATTGCAGATCATTTCTTTTGGTCAATGTTTTTTGCTTTTTCAAGCATAGCACAAGTTCAAAATAGGTTTCCTTAGAGGAGTGTTATTAGCTTTTACTTGCAAACTCCTAATCCCCTGGCCACAGCTGTCATCTTTAGTTTTCTGCACAAACTCTAATTTTTCTTTTGCAGTTATACAATCTGTTCATACTGGTTTTAGACTGATATAAAACTATCTTCTCTGTCAATTACATTTCCTAATACCATGTGTTTTTGTGTCTATTTGTTTTCAGTGTTTGGCATTTGGGAATTTGGGGTAGATTGAAGCCTGGTACACAAAGAATAAAAAAAACAAAAAAATCTGAACTGATTTTTAAAACATCAGAGATCCCACACATGATGACAAATGATGTGAGATTTAATCGCTTTTGTGTGTGTGTGTGTGTGTGTGTGTGTGTGTGTGTGTGTGTGTGTGTGTATGTGTGATGTAGAACAATGCAATAAACACAGCACAGCACACCACGTGATGACTCTTCACCTGCAGCCAGAGTCCCAACTCTAGTAAAAGAAAAATCTCTTGTGATCAGATGTGATTTTAGTGTAGGAAACAAAGCAGACTAGTGGAGCTAACTGTTGCTAGCCACTTCACTTCGTGTTACTTCTGTTGAAGTAGCTAATATTTTTTAACCCCTCCACTTGCGGTTTTCAGTTGCAGTGTGTTTTAACGAACACATTGTGCTGTCACCATGTACCAATTAGAGTAGATTCAATATTTCAGACTTCCATCTCTGTCTATGCTTTGCGTTAACTATCGTTGCCATATATACATTTGTTGCGCTTCCTGCTTTGTTTAGCACACTTCCCTATCAAGTTGTTCCATGTGACAGCTGACATACTGCATGATCTGCCATCCAGGAGGTTCCCCACACACATAGAAATTTTATGTCATGTATGTCAAACATGTATAACATTTGCAATTCCAAGTCAGGGTGAAAAATCACTCTTCACACATATTACATCACAGGATAATCTGACAAGATAATCTTTAAAACCATCCGATAGCTGGGCCTTTGCTGACTTTTGTCTGGAGGGGGCAGTCGGACGCAAAATTGGCACAATTATCTTGTAGTTTTTGCTTTAACTGTACCTAATCTACATCAAACCCTGCAAAACATACAACCTCACAAAAGATTTAAAGTTAAATGCATTGACTTCATATAAATATGGAAGCAGCAACTCAATCTCCCAAAACCTGAAAGGGTTCGAGGAGAGAGGAGCAATGCCTGAAAATAGAGAATCTTGCACAGCTTTGGAAGTTATAAAATTAAATTGCATTTTTTTTAAATAATAATAATAATAATAATAATAATAATAATAATACATTTTATTTATAAAGTGCTTTTCATAAAACTCTAAGACATTGTATAATGCAGAAATACAGTAAAAAAAGCAAACAGACAGACAAACACAAGACAGAACATCACAATCAGATTAAAAGCCTGTCTAAAAGGTGAGTATTCTCCCGTGATTTGAATGTAGGCAAGTCTGTGCAGTTTTGAATATGTGCTAAGAGTGAATACCAGAGGGAGGGGGCAGCTTTGGAGGAGGTTCTGTCCTGGTGGGGAGAGGAGGATGGTGTTAGAGCGGAGGGTACGGGTAGGAATGTGATAGTGGAGGAGGTCAGTGGTGGTGGGGGCTTATGGCTTATGGTTTAGGCCTTTATAGGTGGGGAGTAGGATCTTAAATTGGATACAAAAGAGGATAGGGAGCCAGTAGAGTTCTTGTAGGACAAGGAGTTTAAGAGAGTTAAAGTCCCATAATATCATGGCTTCAATAGAATTTCTGCATGTTATTTAACCAGTTTTAAGTATAGGAAGGGGCTGTAGTGTGCAGCTACATGGTTTTCTCCTCCTCTTGGGGACAGGGAGGAGTGAGAAGCATATGCTCATGGCAGACAGTTCAGTAAGAAAAATACCCTGATCTCTTTGATTAGAACTGATGAGTCACTTCTTGATTAGGTTTGTAAATATACAAAAGAATAATATGGTCATGTTGAAGAAAAAAACAATTGGAAATTTAAGAAAATATTTCGGATAAAAAAGCTGTACATTTGTGGTAATTAAGTCATACCTTTACAAGAGTTAAGTCTAACTACAAGAAAAACAAATTATGGAAATTTATGAAAATTATGCAGAAAATGTACAAGTTCTAAGTCTAAATAACAACAATTCCAACAAAAAAAACCCTGAAATTTATGAAAGAAAAAGTTATAACTTTAGGTTGTGAAAGTAACCCCTGAGGGTCGTTAACCTGAAAGGGTCGTTAACGACCCCTGTCATGTGACCACATGACTCATGCCACCTGAGTCATGTGGTCCCAGGTGTGAATGTTTGTGGAGTTTCCTGGGGAGAGAGCTGAGAACTGCATTGTAAGTGCCGGAGAGGTTGTGCTTGAGTCCACTCCCTCTGTTCAGAGAAGGTTTCTCCAGTCTGGTAAAGATGGCTTCTTTAACTCCTCTTTCAAACCATCTGTCTTCTTTAGCCAACACCTGTACATTGCTGTCCTCGAAAGAGTGACCCGTGACCTTTAAGTGAAGGTGGACAGCTGAGTCCTGACCTGAGGAAGTGGCTCTCCTGTGTTGAGCCATGCAGTTGTGAAGCGATTGTGTAGTTTCCCCAATGTACAGGTCCAAGCATTCCTCGCTGCACTGGACAGCATACTGAAGAAGCTTCTTGGATAAGATGCAAAACGTCTTCTCAACTCTACACAGTCCAGTTGCCTAAATTTGGAGTCTTCAAGAAAACCATTACCTGGATGAATGAGAATCTACATGGACATATTGGATCACACTTTGGGTTGGATACCCTTCAGCTGATCCGGGAGCACAAGAAAACTTGCAGGAAGATGGCAGATTACAGAAACCACCTCGGCTTTAACCTAAGATGCAGACAGTGTAGGAGCCAGATTGGGGTTTTGCAGTTTATTGTTATGTATTTTTTGTGCCAACAGATGGTCCTATTGTGCCTGTCTATTTAAGAGGTGGGTTGATTAGGACAGGTGTGTACACCTGGGAAGCCGAACAGTTTTTTGACCGTCTCAAGTGGTTTTGTGTCTTGTCTTACATCAAATAATGAATGAGTAAATAAATCAAAAACAACAGAAGATATGGACGGTGTGACATGTGACATTATTCCACACACGGGCACGCGTCAACTCAAGCAAAAGGGTGTTCGCCACAAGTAACAGCATTGGAAAGCTGTTACAGACAGCAAGGACTTGTTCCCAAAAGCCTACGCTTGTTTTCCACCATTAAAGGGCACAGGGCAGACAGCATCCTTTCCAGGACACAGAAGCAGCTCCTCACTGAAATGGTTAGGCAGGTCAATTTCACCATCGAGGCCTTACAAGCTAAAATAAATCACACCAAGGAGACACTGGCATCCCGACTTCCAGAGGACATCCTCAACAAAGTCTACAACTTTGTTTACAAGGCTCAGACCTCTCAACATACCAAAGGCATGGAAAGACAAACACAGAAATTTGACAGACTACTTTCCCAGCACTCAAAGATCCCATCAGAACTTGCTTGGAGGGACAAAACTGACAGCCACACAGACACTAACATGCAAGAAAAGTGGGTGAAGAATTTGTCAGACAGGGTTCTCACTCAGCCGGAAAAGGAAGTCCTTTACAAAGGAGATGGGTTTCTACCATAGACTGTATATAAGATGGACACCGTGGTTCCGCCTTCCGCCTGTATACGGATTTGAAGCCAAAAAGCTCTTGGTAATTCCGGGTTTTTCTCCACTTCCTTGAAACCAGAGCTGTGCAGTAGCGTTGTGCGCATTCGGCCGCGCAGTCGCCGAGAGTCCCTGTGATGACGCTCGGCTCAAACAGCGTATTCCCCCGGAAGAGCTACGCAATCCCTGAACGCCCATAGGCTGTACCAGGTGTCAATCATAGAAAACATGAACCCCCTAATAACTTTTAAAAACGGAGCTGTACAGAAAAAAAAGGACTTGGGCACAAACCAGTCTTACTGTAACTATATGTCAACATCACAACCAGGGGGGAGAAAAAATTATGTTCTGTGTAATAAATTTCTAAAGTTTGTCCACAGTCCCATAAGCTTTGCTGGCGGAGGCGGGATTTATGACCTGTACTGCAGCCCACCATCAGAGGGTGCTGTTCTCGGAGTGGCTTCACCCAGCGAGGAGGCAGACTCTGTCCATCTTATATACAGTCTATGGTTTCTACGGAGATGGGTGTCTACGACCTATTCTTTCCAACTCCTCCCAGTCATTGTCTGTCCCCTTCTCCAGTAAGATAAATATCTGCTCCTCACACTAGCAATTATTAGAACTGAAGAAGCTTATTGGATAAGAGGCGAAACGTCTTCTCTACTCTACACAGTCCAGTTGCCTGATTTTGGAGTCTTCAAGATAAGCTTGCATGTTATTTTAAAGGGGTAGATCAGAAGAGGCAGGTTGCTGTGGCTCAGTGATACTTAGTAACACTGATTGTCAGCAGCTATAGCAGACTTCTTTATCTGTGGAGAAATGGGTAAACGCACTAAGTAATTTAAGTGCTTTTAGTGGTCAGAAAGACTAGAAAAGGGCTGTGTGACTTACAGTCCATCTACCAAATTCAAGAGCAGCCAGCTGCCTCATTGGAGAACCTGGAGCATCATGTACATTTTTTAGGGGTGTAACGATTCATTTTAACAACCATTTGATGAAGTCACTGTGTCGCATTGTACCCTCAAACAATCTATCAGCAAAGCCTTCTTTTCAGCACTGGCCCATCTGTTGTTGAGCTAAAATAACGTACACGGAGGAAGACACGTGCAAACAAGCAGATGCATGTCCAGACTATTTGACTGGGGTCACCCAACCAGCACTGACACTGCTGGAGTGATATGAAGTATGTGAGCCCATACACAAATAAATAACATTGATGATTGCATCTGTGATGTAAAATCAGCAATATAGTTAATTTTATTACAGTTGTCTCTGACAAGACATTTAGCCAAGGAAGAGGATGTTTGAAGTTTTTCTAGTGTGTTCAATTTTTTGGGGCTTCTTGTCCTTCATAAGTAACCTATCTTATGAATCAAAAAAAAAAGATTGCCTGACTTGATGATGATACATCATTTGTATGGAGGGGATGACTGATCCAAAAGGAGAGTACTTATAAGGGCAGTTCTTTTATAAAAGCTGATTTTTTGTTGAAGTTACTGGTTTTAATCCAAGTGAACCTTGATTGTGGTTTACATGGATTTTGACATGCAAAATAGTACTGCTGTGATGTTACCAAAGAACACTTGGTTAGTAATTTAGAACCCTGCTCAAACTTAACCAGGAAAACCAGCCCTTACATGGTTGTTGTCATGTTTTTATTTTCCAAACCATTTAAGAAAATGGGGAAGAAAATGTCATGATGAGTGCATGCAATATTTGAAACAGCTCACTGCAACATACTTGAAAAACAAAAAACAAAAAGCTTGCAATAAATATTATTTGTTTTGCTGATCTTGCTCTAAAGAGTGATTTGAAAGTCCTTTTTCTAAAAAAAAACATATTTTAAGCCTCCAGCAAGCTCTGGTCAGATGCACACTGTAAAAAAAAAGGTTTATTCAATACATGTCCTTTTTACAGCAGATTACCTTAAATAGGTTCACATGAGTGTCATTTTAACAGCAAAATAACAGTAACTTAACCCTCTTGACTCCATGATTTTAGGTTTAACTGCACAGCAAAAAAGCCAACTTATATTTTTTTGGCCTTAAACAGTCATTTAAGCCGGCAAAACTTTAAAATATTTATTTGAGGCAATAATATCAGTAAGCACAACAAAGCAAGCCAGTTGTATGCTCAAAAACAATTTGGTGAGTTGGTCATACTTTAGGTTGGGGTTCAATGCGAGGGACATCAGTTCTGCAAACTCTTATTTGTTGTGAAATGAGGGAAAGCCAACCTTTCAAGTTGGCACTGAATTGGCGCCCGGAGTGTCATTGTGGCTCAGTGGCTGGGCTGCTGCCTCAAGCTAGAGTCCACACAGATCAGAAACCTCTAATTAAATTAAGGTGAAATGATATGGGACCTTTACTCTGAGTTGTGTCGCGCAATATTGTATGTAGAGCATGACACGAGAGCGGATTTTTTACTCCTGTCCCGTCCCACTCCCAGAGAAAAAATCCCGTCCCATCCCAATTCCGGACCGGAGTAAAAAAATTTATCCCGTCCTGTCCCACTCCCGTAGAATGACTCCCACTCCCATCCCACTCCCACTCAAAATTATTCCCACTCCTGTCCCGCTCCCGTTTGAATAAAACCAAACATGTTGAAAAAACGTTGCATTTTTTATTTTAGGTAAAAGTGCAGTGCATATAAAAGGCATTGCCTTTAAGTTTCACATGCCTGACATTCGGTCGATGTAAACAAAGTGCATGTATATACAATGGCGGTTCTAGACTAAATTACTCCCGGGCGAGGGGACTAAAACTAAAACCTGACCTTCCTTGCCTTCCTTGATGCAAAATCATCAATAATCTTGTCATAAGAAATCTGCTCCCCTATTAACCCATTATGACCTGAACCCTGTCTGAGCTGCGCCTCTGAAATCCTGAGGGCCGTTTTGAGAAGGGCCCCCAGATCCTGAGGTTTTCTTAACTGTTGAGGTTTACAAAAAAGCTGATATCTCAGCCTCTGTCGCAGATAGAAAAGCCGCTGTATAAATAAAAGTAAAGACTCTGCATTGGAGAATAACAAACTATTTGCTTTCTGTAAAACAAGTGGCAGTCATGATAAAGTGTCCATTCAACACAAATGTAAATATAAAAAATAAAGTGTTGAAAGGGTATACAGCTGCCCTATTATAGTGCCAGTACAAGACCAGCACTTAAAACTAGAAAAATGAATAAATAAATAAGTGTCTGACAGTGTGTTCATGTCAGTGCTCACCCAAAGTCATGCAACAGGTTGTCCAACACTGCTGGATGTTTCTCTTTCAAAGCTGCTTTCTGCCTCCGTCATTGTTTACTTTACTCTTGAAGCACGTAGCAAGATCTGAGCATGATTTGATTCGATTCGCCACGACTCCATAAATGATTAAAAAAATACAGAATGTCACAAAATGACGTATCCGCGCTCCCGGCTTGAAGGGTAGAAATGCACAGCCGAGCTCTCGGCTTGGAAGGTTGATATGCGTACATACCAGTGGCGGCTGCTGGTCTTTCAAGGAGGGGAAGCAAATTTTTCTGGCCTACATCATAATTGTGTTTGTTTATTTGTATGTAACAGAATGGAATGGGCTCATACCAATAAGACTGCTTGTCATCCTGGCATTCAGAAGACGCTGTTTGTTGCCCAACAGCGCTTCTGCTGGCTTAACATGTTAAGAGATGTCACTGAGTATGTAAATGCCTGTCCTGTTTGTGCTGCTTATAAAGTGTCCCGTCAGAGTCCTCAGGGGATGCTGCAACCTCTTCCCATGCCACCAACTGTGGTCACATATTTCTATGGTCTTCGTCACGGGATCCCCTAACTCCAAGGGTAACACAGTTGTGTTCACAGAAGTGGACAGACTCTCAAAAATGGCTCAATTCATTCCTCTTCCCAGACTTCCCTTGGCCAAAGAGATGGTCATGGTCATGTTAAATAATGTTTTCAGAACTCATGGCTTCCCACAGGATATTGTCTTGGACAAAGGGCCACAGTTCATCTTCCGGTTCTGGAAGGAGTTCTGCAGGCTGCTGGGGGCTTCTGTTAGCCACTCGTCTGGGTTTCACCCGCAGACCAATGGGCAGTCGGAGCGGGCTAACTAGGAGCTGGAAAGGGGCTCCGCATCATGGCCTCCCAGAACCTGGACACCTGGTCGGATAATCTGGTTTGGGTGGAGCTGGCACACAATTCTTTACCTTCTTCCTCTTCTGGTTTTCCCCCTTCCATGTCGTACATGGTTTTCAACCCTCTGTGTTCCCCTCCATAGACTCTGACTCTTCCGTCCTGTCTGCACTGACCTTGGTTAGGTGCTGCAAGAGGATCTGGGAGCAAGCCCGTTGGACCCTCTTCAAAGTCGGCATTGATCTACAAGGCTGCAGCAGACCACAAGAGGACACCAGCCCCCATGTACATCACAGGTCAGAAAGTCTGGCTTTCTACTAAGAATCTGCCTCTCCGAATGGACTCTCGTTCCCAGATTCATTGGACCCTTCCCCATCTCCAAGGTGATCAACCCTGCCTCTGTAACCTAAATGAGACAGAAATCATGTCGTATGGACAGCCCGGGGATGGTGTGTGTTTTAGCCCACTCTAAAGTGTTGCAGTGTGAACACAAAACTGCCAGAAGGATATAAGCAAAAATACATGGAGGTTGCGAAAAAAGCCTTTGGCAATGTTCACACCGCTTTAAATAAACCCAGGTCTATTTCCTCAGATAGTCAGATGTATTTGAGTGATGTGAAAGCTCATTCAAATTCTGATGTGGACCATACAAGTGCCCCCTGATGTGTCCAAACTCTCTTCCACTTAAAAACAAGGTCTTGGCTTGCTCCCAAGCAAACCCTGGTGTAGTTCATTTAAAGTGACTTATCACAATGATTATTTGCCATGAAATTTTTAAAATGGCGATTTCACCAAGACAGTCTGGATGCAGACCTCCACTGAGAGGACCCACCTGCACTAAGCGGACGTTGTTTGAAGCCTTTCAAAATATAAGCTAATATCCCAGAGGTACGTTTCTTTTTTGTTGTTGTCTTTTTCTACGTCTTAACTTGATTTAAAGCCTTTCAAATTAAAAGTGATTACACTGGGAATACGTATTTTTATATAATTAATAATATATAATAATGTAATTATAATTATATAATTATATATATTTTTTTTTCTTGGGGCTTTATTCTATGTATACAATGTTAATATGATTTCTTGTGTATTCATGTGTTAAACAAACATGACATTCAAACTGGAGTGCATAAGAATAAACATCATATTGGGGTCTCTCAGTGGAGTGGACCCTCTCAATGGAGGTGGGTCCTCTCAGTGGAGGTCTGCAGCCAAACCCCTCTTGGTTTCTCTGACTTGCTATAAATCAGTGGCTCCCAAACTTTTTCTGATATGTCCCTATTTGAAGCACTGCTTTTGAAATAGATAATAAAAAAACAAACATTTTGCAATTACAATGCTGGAAAAGGAACCTCCATTTCAACTTTAATTAACCCCTTTGTTACTTGTGACATCAGTGACCGGACTGCAGCATCGATATATGTAATGCTTAAAATGAAAGAAAATGTAAAAACTTGAGACAATTTTAGCTTAAAAAAAGCAACTCAAAGTTTTTTAACCACTTTTTGTTGCATTTGAGATTGCTAAATCAGTCTTTTTTTCTTCCCACAAATGATGAATGAGCAACAGTCTTCGTCAGTGATTAGCAGCTCCTATCTTATTAATTTTAGGAGATTCTTTCATTTTTTCTGTTCCTGTTAGAAATCTTTGTGTCCTTCCCGCTCTATTTTCAAATAAACACACTACGTAGTGAGCATGTCCAATTTGTTTATCCATCCGCACTTAAAATGATTTCGTTTTCGAGGCCAACGTTACCCCAAGCCATGTCTCAGCAACACTCAAAGGAGACATGCCACACACTTTGGGAACCACTACTGGAAATCATCTGGTTTGAAACTGAACCCCGCATAGCGGTAGTAGACATTAAAAATTACAGCACAGAAATAATCACGCTTGTGGCTAATGGTTTTGTTTGCTTTTGAGGTCATTAAGAGGCATCAGTGTCATTTTAAGTCTCTTTTTTGCAAGACAAAAACTCCTCATAGTCTCATAGTGTCTCTGCCAAATGCTCTGCTGTGTTTACTGTCAAAGGAATCTAAAGACTAATGATAACCCTCAGTGTGTTTGACATTACAGACAAGACCTTTCATATCCAACACAGCGCTAATTCTCTGTTACTCTTGCATTAATGATATGTATAATCAGGCCCTCAATGTGTCAGTGTTTGTTTAATTTTAAATGTACATGTCATTACTGCAAATGTAATGGGTTGGTTAGTTAACATTCAGCATATGTTCTACTGATGAATTTGTGTGCTCCTCATTGTTATTGTTTAATGCAAACATTCACCTCCATGCTTCATTTGACAGACCTGTGCTGGATTTTTGGATGTTACCCATCTATGTGTATCTTTATGTGTGACAGTCAACTGGCTGGGATGTGAAAGAAAACTGTACGAGAGTAAAGAGTTTAAAGAGTGACAAGGGTTGAAAGGACAGATGAGAGATGGGGGGGTTACTATCAACTCAGTCAACCTCTCTCAGGCTCTAAAGAGCTTCTCCTCTGACTCATAACGGCTGCCAGTGTCAGAGCCTATAGGGACTGAAACAGAGGAGTTTCTGGTGTCAGACTGAGAATGAAGATTGAGAAGGACTAAACTTCCTGTGTACGTATGAGTGACTGTGATGGGCTGATCCAGCAGGGAGAGAGAATAAGGAGCCCCATGTGCAGCATTTCTCTCAATGCTGGAGGACTACTGGGGGTCAGTTGAGTCTTGATGAGACAGGTTGTCCACTGGGAGAGTGCGTTGGGAGGAAAGGCAAAGCCAGAGGGACCTACATTGGGTTCAGCCAGTTGTGACACATTCCAAATGAAATTCATTTTCCTGAATACTGTCATGCAAATGAAGGACAAGTCAGCTGGGGCTTTTGGCACTGTACATTTGAGATTCTGCATTTGGGAATAGTGACTCGACATTCCTAAAGGGCCTGCTCTGGGCACATTTTAGTGAGGACTATGTTAATTGGGGCCTAGACTACTTTGCCAACACTTAAAGTTCAGCTGAAATTACAGTTAACATTAGGGTTGAGGGTTATGGATTTGTAGAAATACAAAACCACCGCTATGACTAGGATCTGTTCTTTTTTATTTCAATGTAAAAAAACAAAAAATGTGTTTGATATGGAGGACTAAAGACAGGAGTATACTAAAGGAGAGCTATCAACATGTCTGTCTTTTTTCTTAATACCTAAACTTTCCTGATTTTTGGATACAGGTCGTGTGACATTAAACAACACTCCTCAGACTGAGGAAGGACACAGCTGCTCAGGCCAGCAAGGTCCAGATACTTCAGGCTGAGCTTCATCTTGGTTTTAAGTCAAAGGGAGTACCTGTCAGAGTGAAGCAAAAGAAACCTTTGACAAAAAATACTTGGTATAAAAGAGATACAGGAGGCCTTCAGAGGGGCTCAAAGTGGATTAATGCTGCTTTCAGTCCTGCTTTTTAGAAACTTGTTTCTAAGATATGGGCAGACGAAAAGGTTCTCTTCATTCAGGCAATATTTTTATGCCTCATTACTTGTTGCGTGTGGTGTATTTTGTGGACCCAAAGCAGACAGAGAAGCAGATAGCAAATTAAAGATGTATTCAATGTCCAACTCAGGGGAAAAGGCACGAGAGAAAGTCCGGTTTGCTGGATGGCTGTTGTGTGGGCTGGAGACACTGTGGAGAAGCAGAGGAGGTGGAAGTGAGAAGACATACAAAGAATCACAGGGAACAAAAAAGTCACAAGCACTTGTCCAAGGAGACGGCCAGGAGAAGCGTCTGTACCACTCAGAAGTGAAGACAATACTCAGGCGCTGAGACTTAGGGCTGCTGGCTTCTTCAAGGGCCATGATTGCCAATGCAGTGCAGGTGTGGAGTCTCTCTCAGCCTCAGCGACCGGGGGGGAGGGAGAGTGGGAGATCCAGGACCGCTCCTGAAGGGGACGACAGAAGGAGGGCTCAGGGTGCACGAGGTGACAGGCTTAATCACGGAGACATGAAACGTGAGGTGAAATTTGAGGGATGAGGGAAGTTTTTGTCTTACCGCCGATGGGTTTATAATCTTCTGGATAGGGAAGGGACCAATGAAGCAGGGAGACAGCTTGAGGGACTCAGTCTGCAGGGGAAGGTCACGGGACGATAGCCAGACCATCTGACCGGGACAATAGTCTGGTGCAGGGGAGTGGTGGACATCAGCCAGGCGTTTGTTGCGCTCGGCCGTGCGAGTGAAAAGCACATGAAGGGAGACATCCCTGTGGCTGAGGAGGTGAGGGAGTTATGGGCATACTTGATCCACGGGAGGTGTACTCTAGGATGCTGGATGATGGGCCAAAAGAGGATGGGGAATCTAAACTACGGGTAGGGGTATTTGGTTTCTTTTCTCGCCGTCTCTCCCTGAGGTGATTATCCAACCGTATGGCTAACGAAATTAGCTCCTCAAGTGAGGGTGGCTCGTCACGAGCAGCTAATTCATCCTTTAACTGTTCGGACAGACAACGAGAAAATAAGCCCTTTAACTCAAGTTCTCCCCACCCACTCTCGGCCGCCACTGTGCAGAACTCAATTGAGAATTCCGCCACAGACCGAGAGCCCTGGGTGAGGGAAAACAACCGCTTCGTACATTCAGGTCCCTCAGCAGGATAATCAAATACTTTGCAAAGTTCCTCAGTGAATCTGGCATATGAGGACAACATAGGTAAATCTTTATCCCAAATGGCAGTAGCCCACTTAGCGGCTTTGCCTCGTAATAGATTAACGGTGTAGGCGATCTGGGATTTATCCGAGGGGTAACTAATAGGCTGTTGATCAAAGACTACAGCACCGCGGAGCAGGAAACCTCTGCAGCCCCCAAGCTCCCCAGCATATGGCACGGGAGGAAGGACATAAGGCTCTTTGAAGGGAGGAGATGTGGAGAGGGGACCGTACTCACACAGGGGGGAGACCCAGATTGCTGCAGGGGGAGCCAGGAGTGGAGTTGATCCGCCAGTTGCGCTACTTGAATGTAGAGGCCTTGATAGGACTGGTTGAGGCCCTGGCACATATCCTCATGCTGACCAAGGCGAGCCCTGAGCTTGTGAACAGCTTGCTGGAACCTGTCTGGGTCTGCTGGGTCCATTTTCCTGGCCTGAGTATTCTGTAGCGTGTGGTGTATTTTGTGGACCCAGAAGCAGACACAGAGGCAGATCGCAAATTAAAGACGTATTTAATGTCCAACTCAGGGAAAAAAGGCACGAGAGAAGTCCGGTTTGCTGGATGGCTGTTGTGTGGGCTGGAGACACTGTGGAGAAGCAGAGGAGGTGGAAGTGAGAAGACATACAAAGAATCACAGGGAGCAAAATAGTCACAAGCACTTATCCAAGGAGGAGGCCAGGAGAAGCGTCTGTACCACTCAGGAGTGAAGACAATACTCAGGCGCTGAGTCTGAGGGCTGCTGGCTTCTTCAAGGGCCATGATTGCCAATGCAGGGCAGGTGTGGAGTCTCTCTCTTAGCCTCAGCGACTGGGGGGAGGGATAGTGCCCTGAAAACAGTCAAGCCAGACCAGGGAAACACGGAAAACAGGAAGTTAAACCAAAATAAAACAGGAAGTGGAGACGTCTCACCACATTACTGAATTTTTCAAACTTAAGAGAAGTAACCAAGCTGAAAGGGAAACATACAATAGGCAAAAGGGTTTGAGGCTATGTAAGGATTAAAACCAGGAGTGCATGGTATATACCAGACTGGTGCGTTATTAGTCCAGATAAAGGGAATATTCCTATAAACCTACCAATTGTAATGCATTTTACATGCATTTGAAATGCCTTTCAAATGCATATATAAAGCTTTACAACAAGTGATTATGAGCGTTCATAGAAATGTAAAGCAATGTTAAGTGTTCTAATCAGTGAGCATAAGAAAATATAACTTATAATGCATTTTAAATAAACAAATTTAATTTATTATAATTGTATTTATATAGCCTCTGATTCATTACAACCACTGGGTTTGTATGAATAAATAATATACTAAATATTAACAATGTATTATTTCAATAACATTATTTTGTATAATCACAGCCATTTAAATATTATGATCAAGCCCATACATTTCCATACTGTAGGTAGCGGTATGCCGTATGCCAAATCAAAAATGTGAGGAACATTAACTAAAGTAACTAAACAAAAGGTTAACAAAGGGAGACAACTCCAGTCGCACAGCAGGCTGTTACCTCCCTCACACACACACACACTGAAAGTGGCTGGCTGCTCTTTTTTAAAGCACACCCTGGCCCCACCCTAATTGAAAACACTGGGATGAAAGGGTAACCAGGAAATATAAATCTCACTAAACACGACAAAACACCAATTAAACATTTTAAAGTGGAAACTCAAAATATGTTCATACTAATGAAAGCATAATCATATTAAGAGTAAGGATTCACCCAGTTTACTGGGCAATCACACTCAGGAGCTCCACACCAACCACCTAGGCACAGGTGAACTCACTTTAAGTAATCAGGGTGCTGTGAGGAGAGCGGGTCTGGTGAAAAGGCATGAGCAGCCTTTTCACACTAATTCAACACCATTAAAATAGGATTTTTATATGTCTGTTTTCACTCGGCTCTTACTGCTATTCTGCCCTTCAGAGCAGCTTCTAAGCTACTCTCAGCTTGACATAGAAATCAGGGAGCAGAGCCACAGTGTAAAACGTCCCTCTGTACTCCCTTCTAAACTTATCTTTCATTGAAGGTAGGAACAGAAGGGATAGAGATTGATGATGTGAGGTGTTGGAGCCAGCAGGGCCAAAAAAGCACATTGTGTATGTACATATCTGGGAGTGTGTTTACAGTGCATCCGGAAAGTATTCATACCACTTCACTTTTTCCACATTTTGTTATGTTACAGCCTTATTGCAAAATGGATAAAATTTCATTTTTCCCTCAAAAATTCTACACAAAATACCCCATAATGACAAAGCAAAAAACTTTTTTTGGAACATTTGGCAAATTTATTAAAAATAAAACACTCAAATGTTGCACACACAGCTATATCTTGTAACCACGTGAGGGTTGGTTTATTTTCTCTCTGTAATTTATCAGTACTTCTGTTTGTTTAGAAAGTCTGTAAGTATTTCTGATAGTTTTCACCAAGCACCGTTTTTATCTCCACTCTGGGCGATCTCTCTGACCATCTACTTTACTAGCTCCTAGCTTAGCTTCTCTTAGCTACACTTGCTAATGATGGCTTCCCCCCGGTCTCCTGCTCGCTTCTGCTCAGTGTGTCAGATGTTCAGTTACTCCTCGTCCTCCTTAGACGATAACGATACCTGCTTTAAGTGTAGTTTATTCTTAGCTCTGGAGACGAGGATTACAGAGTTAGAAAAGCGGCTCCGCACCGATGCTAGTGTAGCGATAGCCAGCCAGGACACGGTAGCCGGTGCGGGTCGGCCTAGCTTAGCTTCCACCCCGGCGAATCCCGAGCAGCCGGGATGTAGTAGTGGTTGGGTCACTGTGAAAGGGAAGCATAGCAGTAGACCTAAGAAGCCCACGGTAGACCACCACATTCACATTTCAAACAAATTTGCCCCTCTCAGCAACACACCTGCTGAGCCTGACGCTCTTGTGATTGGAGACTCTGTAGTCCGAAATGTGAAATTAGCAAAGTCAGCGTCCATAGTTCAGTGTCTCCCGGGGGCCAGAGCGGGCGACATCGAAGGTAGTTTAAAACTGCTGGCAAAGGCTAAACGTAAATTCCGTAAGATTGTAATACATGTCGGCGTTAATGACTCCCGACGCCGCCAGTCGGAAGTCACTAAATTGAACGTGGAATCGGTGTGTGAATATGCCAAAACCATGTCGGACTCCGTAGTTTTCTCTGGTCCCCTGCCCGATCAGACAACTGATGAGATGTGTAGCCGTATCTCATCATTCAACCGCTGGCTGTCGAGGTGGTGTCCGCAAAACGGCGTGAGCTTCATTGATAATTGGAAGTCATTTTGGGGCAAGCCTGGTCTGATTAGTCGGGACGGCATTCATCCCACCCGAGATGGAGCGGCCCGTTTATCCAGAAATATGGCCGATTTTATTAATCCGAACCACTGACAATTCAAAGCAGAGATCAGGGAGCAGGGCCGCAGTCTTACACGCCCCCCTGCGCCTCTTTTAGAGCAGCCTCCCAGCCACTACCACTTATACACAGAGACAAGGGAGCAGAGCCGCAGTGTAAAACGCCCTTCTGTACTCCCTTCAGAGCAGCTTCCAAGCTACAATCAGCTTGACATAGAAATCAGGGAGCAGAGCCGCAGTGTAAAACGCCCCTCTGTACTCCCTTCAGAGCAGCTTCTAAGCTACTCTCAGCTTGACATAGAAATCAGGGAGCAGAGCCACAGTGTAAAACGTCCCTCTGTACTCCCTTCAGAGCAGCTTCCTAGCTACAATCAGCTTGACATAGAAATCAGGGAGCAGAGCCACAGTGTAAAACGTCCCTCTGTACTCCCTTCAAAGCAGCTTCCAAGCTACTCTCAGCTTGACATAGAAATCAGGGAGCATAGCCACAGCTCTACACGTTCCTCTGTACTTTTGTTAGAGCAGCCTCCTAGCTACTGTCACTTTAATATAGAGACTGTGTCTGTCCCTCGTACTCGGCTCTCAAATTCTAACCGATCAATTAAAAAAGGAGTAAATAACAAGAACCTTACTAGAATTAAGACTGTTAACATAGCTGAACCAAGTACTAGTAAGATAAAATGTGGTCTACTGAATATAAGGTCTCTAAATTCAAAATCTGTGTTAATAAATGAACTAATCTCTGATCATCGCATTGATTTACTCTCCCTAACCGAAACATGGCTGCGTAAGGATGAATATGTAAGTTTAAATGAATCCACTCCTCCTAGCCACCTAAACTTTCACATTCCTCAAGACTCTGGCCGAGGTGGTGGAGTTGCAGCTATCTACAATTCCAGTCTTAGAATTAACCCAAGACCAAAACTAGTTTATAACTCTTTTGAAAGTCTCGTTCTCAGTCTCCCGCATCCAGCCTCAAAGTCCATGAGACCACTGGTATTTGCTATAGTTTACCGCCCTCCGAGCCCATACTCTGAGTTTTTGTCAGAGTTCTCAGAGTTCCTATCTGAATTAGTCCTTCTCGCAGATAAAGTCATCGTCGTCGGTGACTTTAATATTCACGTAGATGTAGAAAATGATAGCCTAAGCATTTCTTTTCGGTCCTTGCTAGATTCAATTGGGTTTACACAGTGTGTACACAGACCTACGCACTGCTTTAACCACACTCTCGATCTCGTCCTGGCTTATGGCCTCGAAACTGAAGCCCTGTTAGTCAACTCATTAAATCCTCTATTATCTGATCACTGTCTAGTAACTTTTGAATTTGTGCTATCAGGTTACTCTCCTCACAACAAAGCCGTGCTAACTAGAAAGTTGTCTGAAAATGCTGTTACTAAGTTCAAGGAGGTAATTCCGTCTGCTCTAAATTCTGTAGTTGAGAAAAACTTCACTGATAGCTCATATTTAAACATCAGTCCCTTGCAACTCGACCAGTTTGTTGATGATACCTCAGGCACACTGTGATCAGTTCTAGACTCAGTTGCCCCTCTTCGACAAAAAACTCTTACACGCGAGAGGCTAGCCCCGTGGTATAATGCTGAAACCCGTGAGCTGAAACAGTTATTAAGAAAATGTGAAAGGATTTGGCGCTCCTCCAAAACAGCTGAAGCTCATTTTCTCTGGCAGGAATGTCTCGATAAATATAAGAAAGCCCTACGACATGCTCGGACAACCTACTACTCCTCTCTTATTGAGGAAAATAAGAATAACCCCAGATATCTCTTCAGCACTGTAGCCAGGCTGACAGACTGTCAGAGCACCACTGAACCATGTATCCCTTTAGCCCTTAGCAGCAACGACTTCCTGAGCTTCTTCAATGATAAAATCTTAAAAATAAGAGGTAAAATTAGTAACCTATTGACTCCATCAAGTGTCTCTCTCTCAGATAACCCTAAAAATGTTGAGGAGCCCCTAAGGCCTCTGGTGCACCTTAGTAATTTTGTACCTATTGACCTTCCTGAGTTAAAGTCAGTGGTGCTAGCAGCCAAACCATCGACGTGTCTCTTAGACCCAATTCCATCAAAATTGCTGAAGGAAACTCTTCCTTTGATTAGTACGTCCCTGCTCAAATCGATTAACACGTCTTTATTAACAGGATATGTTCCCCAGTCTTTCAAGACTGCATTGATTAAGCCTCTCCTTAAAAAACCTACTCTGGACTCAAGCTCCCTAGCTAACTATAGACCAATATCCAACCTTCCTTTTATTTCTAAAATCCTGGAGAAAGTTGTTGCGAATCAACTCTGTGATTTTCTCCATAACAACGGTTTATTAGAGGATTTCCAGTCTGGGTTTAGAACCCATCACAGCACAGAGACTGCTCTGCTAAAGGTGTCAAATGACCTACTCATGGCCTCAGACAATGGTTTTCTCTCTGTTCTAGTCCTGTTAGATCTTAGTGCAGCATTTGACACAATTGACCACTCCATCCTGCTTCAGAGACTAGAACAATCTATAGGCATAGCAGGATCAGCTCTCTCCTGGTTTAAATCGTACCTAACAGATCGATCCCAGTTTGTCAATGTAAATAATGAATCCTCTGCACACACCAAGGTCTGCTACGGTGTGCCGCAAGGGTCAGTGCTCGGTCCAATCCTATTCACCCTGTACATGATTCCGCTGGGTAAAATTATGAGGAAGTACTCGATTAATTTCCACTGTTATGCAGATGACACCCAGCTATACCTATCCATAAAGCCAGAGGAAGCAGGCCAGGTTGCTAGGTTAGAAGCCTGCCTCAAAGATATAAAATCCTGGATGACCAATAACTTTCTAATGCTCAACTCAGACAAAACTGAAGTTCTGGTCCTCGGTCCTAAACACCTTAGAGAGGCGTTCTCTAGTAATTTAGCTACATTTGATGGTATCAGCCTGGCATCCAGCCCCACTGTGCGAAATCTAGGAGTTGTATTTGATCAGGATTTATCTTTTAGCTCCCACATTCAACAAATTTCCAGGACAGCCTTTTTCCACCTGCGCAATATCTCAAAAATTAGACGTATATTGTCTCAGAGCGATGCAGAAAAACTAGTCCATGCCTTTGTTACCTCTAGGCTGGATTACTGTAATTCTCTCCTATCAGGCTGCTCTAGTAAGTCATTAAGGACTCTTCAGCTGGTCCAAAATGCAGCAGCTCGGGTATTGACTAGAACTAGAAGGAGGGAGCACATCTCTCCTGTTTTAGCCTCTCTTCACTGGCTCCCTATTAAATATAGAATTGAGTTTAAAATCCTCCTTGTGACATATAAAGCGCTTAATGGCCAGGCGC